TTGGTTTGGTTTTTGTTGCAAAACTAGGGCTAAGAAGATGGCGGATGAAGAGCATATTCGGCACTGCATGCTTTACGAGTTCCAATTAGGAAGAAAAGCAAGTGAGGCTGCAAAAACATCTGTAGTGCTCTTGGTCAAGATGCAGTTAGCACCAGAAAATGCCAGCATTGGTTTGAGAAATTTCGCGAGGGAAATTTTTCGTTAGATGACAAGAGTGGTCAAGGCCGTGTGTCCAATTTTGATCAAGAAGCTCTTCAAACTCTTTTGGTGCAAAATCCTCAAATTACCCAACAAGAGCTTGCGACAACTTTAAATTGTTCACAACAAACAATTTCCAATTAATTGCGTGCACTTGGCAAAGTCCAAAAGTTTGGAAAATGGGTTCCTCATGAGTTGACTGACAACAACCGTAATCAAAGAGTCACAATTTGCAGTTGGCTCCTCTCTCGTCAAAACCGTTTCCCGTTTTTAGAGCAAATTGTTACAGGAGATGAAAAATGGGTGCTGTATGTTAATTTGAAAAGGTGGCCTCAATGGTTGGACAAAAATGAGGCTCCGCAGCCCACGCCAAAACCTGACTTGCATGCGAAAAAAGTGATGTTGTGTGTTTGGTGGAATTTTAAAGGAATTCTTCATTATGAACTTTTACCATCTAACCAAACCATTACAAGTGCAGTGTATAGTGCCCAATTGGAAAGGTTAGCCCAAGCTTTAAGAGAAAAAGAACCCACGCTGATTAATCGAAAGGGCGTAATTCTTCACCACGATAACACACGACCGCATACTGCAAGAATCACTGCTGAAAAACTGCGCCAGTTGGAATGGGAAGTTCTCCCTCAACCTGCATATTCTCCTGATATTGCCCCTTCCGATTACCATTTGTTTCGTTCTTTGCAAAACTTTCTTCTTGGAAAAAAATTTAATAATGAAGAATGCCTCAAAAATGCATTGACTGAATTTTTTGCATCAAAATCACAAGAATTTTACAACAGAGGGATTAAAATGCTTCCTGAGCGTTGGGCACAAGTAGTAGAAAACAACAGCAACTATATTGTTGATTAAATTTTGTTGTATTGTTTAAATAAATTTGATTTAAAAAGTATTAGAAACGACATTAATTATTACTAGACCTAATAATTTCTTAAAATCTTTCTTTGTCTTCACTCACAGGCTTGCACACACACACACACACACACACACACACACACACACACCTTATTGATCCTAATGTTTCTATTTCTCTGTAGAACCCTAATATAGTTATTTTAAAAAATAGATTTTATATTCAAAAAATCATAGCCTTAAATTTGTATACACATAAATAATATCAATTCATTCTGTATAGGTTTACATACTCTGGTAAATATTTGTTATATTTTACAATAAAATTGTTTAAGTGTTGATAATAATAATATTGTACACATAGAAATGGTTGATTTCTCAGAGATACATACACCCAGGTATAAAAATCATAAAATCAGCCCAGAAAATTTTAGAGAGAGAAAACTCTCAAAGTTTTGAGAGAGGGTAGAAGAGAGGAAGAATGAGAAAGTATATCAGTACAACAGAACTCTGCATACCCATTCTTTTTATATTAAGAGCACTACATATGAATGGAACCATTTATCAACACCTTCAGAGAGGCAATAATAGTTACTGCAATGGCTATTTACAAACTTCAACAAGAAATCTATGTGGTAACAGAAAAATTCAAAAATTCTCCCCCAAAGCAATGGCAGGACCCAAATCACTAAGGTAGCAGCAGATTTCAAGGCATTCAAGTACTAAGGACTCTTCCAAACTCTAAATCCAAATTTTCTCTATTAAATTCCTTGCCTATGAGAACTCAGAAGTTACGTTATCCTTGATCTTCAAAATTCGTTTTTTACTTTCCATTGTGGTGTGAAGTATTTGTGAGCTACTTAGTCTGGATGTTATTCATCCCAAACAACTCACCAGGTTGGGAAAACAGGCAAATAGTAGACCTTGCCTGAGATGACATCTGACTACACATCTTGTAAAATAATGAAATAGTTTATTACTATTCCCTCCTTTTTAATGGCATCTCTTCCATTTAAATCATTTTCTCTGTATTTATTTCTAGGAAGTCTTAGAGTTTGACTAGACCCAGTAACTGTTGGCATAAAGCAATACTAATATTAAAGTATAAATTTTCTATGAAAAAACAGCCCAGCAGGTATTGCTCAGTGGGTTGAGCATCATCCCATACACCAAGAGGTAATTGATTTGATTCTCAGTCAGGGCACATACCTGGGTTGCAGGACTGATGCCCAGTTGGGGATTAAGGGGTCCAGGAAGAAGCCCATTGACATTTCTTTCATCATCGCTGTTTCCATCTCTTTCTCCATTCCTCTCTCCAAAATAAAATAAATAGCTTAGGTTGAAATAAAATGCTTAGGTTGAAATAAAATGCTTAGGTTGAAAATAAAATAAAATAAAATGCTTAGGTTGAAAATCTTAATAACAATGAAAAATGGTGGGGGGAAAGACAAAGATAACTTTTAAAATCAATGAAGAAAAATGACTTACTCAAGAATGGATATTGAACCTGGGTACATGCCTCAAAATAAACAAAGAAAAATATAAAGTTTTGAACCTAACCTCACTAATTACACACACACGAAAACAATATCTAGACTACAATACTGAAGACAAAAATAATCTAAAAGGAAGTAAAGTAAATGTGAAGTAAATTTTTATCATTTTAGAGTGCTATAAATTTATAATGTAATTCAGAATCCACAAAAAGAAATTTTGATAAATTTACTAATATTAAAATCTATTTTTTAAATTTTGCATGGCAAAAAAAGAAAAGGAACCATAAATACCATCAGACTAATAATAAACCTTTTTTAAAGACACATATGTGTGATAGCCTTATTACAATCTCATTAATATAGAAGATGCTCTCTATAATCTTTATTTAAAAGACATAACAGTAGAAAATAGGTAAATATATGACTGTAGAATTGAGGAAAAATGTAAATGACTTTTAAATATTGGAAACTGTCTCATTGATAATTAAAGAAATCATTTAAAAATAAAAGAAAGCCTAAATGATAAAGAAAATTAAAAAAAAAACTTTGTAATACACTATATATTAGGAAAACAGGTATTCTACCCAATCATCTATTTTAGTATTATATATTTACTGTAGTCCCAATGCACAGATTCGTACACATTGGAAGGAAATTAATTAGAATACATATTTTGATATTGCTATTCACTTTCTCTATGATAAACGTGTCAATCAAATTCATGATTACCAATGGCAGATCAATTGATGTCAGAAAGAGCTTTATATGTATAGTACATGCACAAAAAAATTAGCCATATATATATATATTTGCTTAACTAGACCTGCTTTCTGATTTAGCTAAACTTCTTCCAGTCCAGTGAAGTACCCAAACTTCTATATTAGGTAATTTTCAGCAACACAGCAGTAAATATCAACACGAAGCAGATTATTATTGTAGAATAGGCAGGGAGAAATAAGGGTAAAATATTTAACTGTAGCAGTGCTTGACTATATTCTGCATGGTGAGAAACCTAAAATCATTTTCAAATTCCACCATTTCTTGCTTTTTTTTCAGTTGGGTCAAATTTCTAAACTTTCTAAATATCCATTAACTTCCTAATGACAGGAACATGGGATTCTACTAGGTATCCTATCTACCTATACCAGAACTTATGTGAGGATCAAATGAGATGAGGCATGGGAAAAGGCTTTACAAATATTTGGTTGAACTATAAAATCTTTGCACCTGGCTATCCTAGTAAAGCAAGTCAGGTTCCTGGGTTGAAGAAACTCCAAGAAGGCTAGTTGCTCAGGAAAGGAAGCCAATCATTCCTACATGATGTCATTACCCAGCACCCACAGCAACTGCTTCCAATCTGGGCTGGATTATGGGCCACACTATGGGTCTTGCGATTTGGTTGGGTGTTGCTCCAAGGTGGTGGTGGGGCCTATGTCCCGCTTGGAGGAAACTGAGTCTTGGTTTGTCCACAGACCTGGTACCATTTCTTTTTAGATGGCTAGTGCTCATCATGGCATTGAGGTTCTGCCCCCTGGTGGTCAGTGCATGTCATACCTATCAGTTGGGAAGGAAGGACAGACACTTAGCCTTTTATAATGAGATGAAACTTACCTAGGAGACTGTTTGGTTGAACCATATAAACTACTGTGAGCAGATTCTTTTGAATATTTTTCCTAAAATATTATTCAAAATTTAATGAATATTTATAATACACTAGAAGCCCAGTGCACGAAATTCGTGTACTGGGTGGGAGTCCTTCAGCCCAGCCTACACCCTCTCTAATCTGGGACCCATCAGGAGATGACTCACTGCCAATCCCACAGGGATGAAGTCAAAACCGGCAGTCAGACATCCCTCTCATGATCCAGGACTGCTGACTCCCAACCACTCCTTGCCAGCCTGATCAATGCCTAACTGCTCCTTTGCTGGCCTGATCACCACCAACAGCCTGGTCCTCCAACTGCCCTCCCCTGCTAAACCAGTCACCCCTAACTGCCCTCCCCTGCTAGCCATCTCGTAACCACATGGGTGTGGCCATTTGTGCAAGGGATTTACAGTAAATATACATATTATCTCTTTATTATAAAGTATACTATGTTTTTCTATTTTAATTATTTTGGCTTCTTTAATTTTTTGTGCTATTTTTGTTTCATCAATGATTAACTGCTGGTCTTGAGAAGCAGTCATTGCTTGTGATAAAGGCACTGGTAGAGAGCATGGTTATTCTTTTACTTATGTATTTTCTCATTCAGTCTTTCTATTTTCATCCTCCATTTCTCAAATGCCCTCAAAACACACACACACACACACACACACACACACACACACACACACACACACACAGCACCATCTATCTAAATTATTGAAATGTAATTAGTGCTTCTGATTTCAAAACCTTTCCACAAGAGTACAGCAAGCATCACTGTGTTTCTTGGTGGTTTCTCACAATAGGTCCAAGTTCCCACGTTTGTGCTCAGCTCCCCCTGCAGTGTCTGTTACTGTGTCATCCAGCACACAGTAGTACATGGCAGAATCTGAGTGCTGGACTGAGGCTTTCTTCAAGTGGAAGGCATTTGCTTGTTTTTGGTATGTGGCTACAAATCCTTTGTTGCTTCCATTCTCATTGTCCCTTGAGGCTTTCAGGAGGAGCTGTGGACCTTCTCTGGGATACTGAACATACCAAAAAAGAGTGGGGTAGCCTGTGGCTGAATAAGTACAATTAACAGTCAGGAGAGCACCTTCTAACAGAGTCACTTGGCCTTCCATCTGGGTCACCGAGTCTCCACAGGTTTGTCCTGAGAAAAAGAAAAGAAATCTATATTACTCTGGGCATGGAACTCTGAAATAAAATTATGCTTAAAGAATTTTCAAATTTAATAGAAGAAAGAATCCATATTTTAAGAGTGATGTTACTTACCAAACACTAAGAGTATGACAGTCACGAAGCCCAGAGAGGAGTTCATCTCTACAATGTCGCCTAAATAATGTTCTTGATTCTTAACATGAAGTGAAATGATAAACCAAAGCCTACATTTCACTTGGGAAATGTGCTTGCATTTGGGAACAGCACCTCCTGTTGGAGAGGAACTGAAATGGAATGCATGGATCTTTTAAAAAAATTTTTTTTTTCAATTACAGTTGACATATAATATTATATTAGTTTCAGTTGTACAGTGATTAAACATTATATACCTTATTAAGTGATCAATCTTGTACCCATACATGGTCATTAGAATATTGACTATTTTCTCTATGCTTTACTTTACATGCTCATGAACATTCTAACAATCAATTTGTACTTCTTACTTCCTTTACCTTTTCCACTCCTCCCCCCCAACTTCTCTCTCATCTGGAAAACATCAAAATGATGCTTATATCTTTGAATCTTTTTCTGTTCTGCTTGTTCATTCATTTTGTTATTTAGATTAAATTGCTGATAGATATGCTTTATTGCAATCATTTTGTTCCTATTTTTAATCTGTGTTTTTTTTCTTTTTTTTCATAAAGAGGACAATATTTCATGCAATACTGGTTTGGCAATTAAAAACTCCTTCATTTTTTTCTTGTCTGGGAAGCTCTTTATATGTCCTTTGGTTCTAAATAATAGTTTTGTTAGATAGAGTAATCTTAATTGTAGGCCCTTACTGCTCATTACTTTAAATATTTCTTGCCACTCCCTTCTGGCCTGCAAAGTTTCTGTTGAGAAATCAGCTGACAGCGTTATAGGAGCTCTCTTGTACTTAACTAACTGCTTTTGTTTTTTATTCTTGCTGCTTTTAAGGCTCTCCTTTTATCTTTAACTGTTGCATTTTAATTAAAATGTATCTTGGTGTAGGCCCATTTGAGTTTATCTTGTTTGATTGTCTATTTCCTTCAAGATGTTAGGGAAGTTTTTAATCATCATTTTTTTCAAATAGGTTTTTCACTGCTTGGTCTGTCTATTCTCCTTCTGGTATCACCATGATACCACTTGAAGTTGTGCCAGAGGATGCTTACATTATCCTCATTTTTAAAATTCTTTTTGCTTTTCTGATTGTATTTTTCCCCTATATTCCAAATCACTGATTTGATTCTCAACTTCATATACTCTGTTGATTCCACTTAAATTGTTATTCTTTTCAGTTAGTATAGCTTTTATTTCTGACTGGCTCTTTTTTTATGGTTCCCATGTCCCATTTTACGCTATTGAAGTTATCTGTAAATTCATTTATTCTTCCCCTAAGTTCATTGACCATCCCTATAACCAGTGTTTTGAACTCTGCATCTAGTAGATTACTTATAAAAATTTTGTTTAGTTGTTTATCTGGCGTTTTGTTCTGTTCTTTCATTTGGCACATATTTCTTTGTCTCCTCATTTTGGCAGCCTCCCTTTGTTTGTTTCTATGCATTAGGCAGAGCTGCTGCATCTCATAGTAGAGTGGCCCATACAATAGGTATCCTGTAGGGTCAGCCTCCCATTCACCTGAGCTGGGCACTCCAGGTGTGCACTCATCCCTGTGTAGGCTCTGTACACCCTCCTCTTGTAGAATGAACCCAAAAAATTGTTGTTGGCACCTCAGTGGAGGGATTTATCCCAGGTCAAGCTGCTGCAAGGGATTTACCCTCATGGAGAATCAGCTGTGCAAGGGTCCACCCTACAGAACAGGACTTACTTTAGTGGACCTTTGGGGGCTGTTAAGTTTGCCCCTTGAGTTTGTCACTTGTGGAGGTGATAGGGTGGTGCTTCGATGTAGTCTGAAGCTGTCCATGAGTTCAATTGGCTTTGGGGCCTCCCAGGAAGTGCAGGCCAAGGTCAGCCACTGCTTTGTTCTGCCTAGAACCCCCTGCTTGAGCTACAAAGCAACCTGAAGATGTCTGTTATTTGTGCTGGGCTTGAAGGTGTCTGGGAGAGACCAAGCTATGAACCAAGGCTGGCTAATGCTAGTATCAGGTCTGGGGCTGCTTAGAAAAAGGTATGGGATACGCCAATGCCAAATGGTGCTTGTTGGAAAGATTTGAGAGAAGTCTGAAGCCAAGAAAAGCTATTCAGGTGGAAAACCCACTGGAAACAGTTTGAGTGTGTCTACAGGTTGGGCGCGTCTCAAGGAATTACTAGGATGGGTCAAAGAATGATACCCAGACTGATGGAGTCTCAGATATGACTCTGGAGAAACAATGGTCTTTGTTCAGGAGAAAGCTGCCCACCAGCTCTTGCTCTGATGCCAGACATTTCAGTTCCTCTCCATAAGTCTCTGGTGCCTCTTGAGTTGCTGCCCCAGTGTTAGAGGTAAGAGAGAATCCAAGTAAGTCCATGCATGGGCCCTATAAGAACAACCTGCAACTCCAAAAGCCTTTCTCCCTTTCCCTCCCGATCAATATCACTCAGTCTCAATCCCTGTTGGTTTTTACAGCCAGAAGTTATGGAGACTTCTCTTTCTGAACTATTATAGAACACTGGGCTAGGGGGACTGGTGTGGAGATAAAACCCCTCACTCCTCAAGCAACACCTCTGCAGCTAAGAATATCCCTCACATTTTTTATCCACTCTACATGAGTGTGGGACCAACATGCTCTGTATTTCCATCCTTCCTACCAGTCTCAATGTGGCTTTGTTATTGTGTGCCTAGTTGCAGGTCTAACATTCAGCTAGATTGCAGGCAGTTTCGAATGATAGTTGTTCTGTAGTTTAGTTGTAATTTTTCTGTGGTTGTGAGAGCATGGGAGTAGTGCATGTACCTATACTGATATCCTGACCAGAAGGGGGATACATGATTCTTAGGCTCTTCCTAAGTATCATACATTCTCATCTCTGACTTTATTTATGTCTCATAAAAAAATCTGGATGATGACTATTATAGGTTCTTGGGTCTATTTATTTTTTTAGGACAATGCCTGACATGGGATAGATATAGACAGAGCAACTCGGTCTATATCTATCATAGGAAGATATCAACTTTTTTAAGCATTTTAATGCAGTACTTTATATACTCATGTGTCCAATATGGGCCTGCCTACAATTCATTGAATGTCAGAAAGGGTTGGGCTTGACATCAGACGAACTAAAAAAAATCAGTTCTTTCTTGAGTGATCTTCATATTTTAGCATTATACCCCAATATAAAACAGTGACTGACATTTATTACATGATTACTAAATATTTCAAAAATTAAACAGAAATAAACAGTCTTTTATTGAGGCTTCACTAATACATGAGATACAGTATTTCTTGATTTTTAAAATTATATCAATTATAAAGAATGCTATTTTTTTTTAATGAAAGCTTTTCAGGAGGGAAAAGTCAATAGTCAAATATTTCTGAATTGCAGAATCATTAAAAATAAAAAGTATGGATCCTAGACAGAAGAAACATCATAATTTAAGTTACCAACTCACTGAAAAATGAACTGAGATCAGTATCTTATCCTCTCATTATTTCACTCACTCCAAGATAAGGCAACTACCCTATCTGGACCAGGTATAGCTTCAAAAATGGTTTTTATTACCACCCATCTGCCAAATTGTGTGGCCAAACTTTAATCAAATAATTTTTCCTCACAGCATAGAGAACCCCAAAGATGTGGATTTACAGAAAAATCCTGGAGTATAAGTTAGGGCTCTTCATTCCCGACTTACCAAATTGTTAAAGATATGCCATCTGTGATATTCATGCAATAGCTAATATGTGTGAATTATTTAAAATTATAGATTCTTGGACCTCACCACTAATATTATGAATCACATTTTCCAGCATTGAACCCACTAATTTGTAATTAATGAACCTCACCCACGTGGTTTTATTGCAGTCAACCTTATAGCAGTTTACAAGATCTCATTTGTGATCATTGTTTTAGAGATTGATAGTTTTCAAAGATCAGGGAGAAATCTCTGGGATACATGGACAAATGTCCCTATGACTACACAAATTTTTAAAACTACACTTTTTCTATGAAGTGCCAGCATCAAAAGGAAGCACTTCTTTAATTCCCCTTTTACAACCATCCTATCTAATAAACAGGGAATATGCTAATTGACCCTCATGTTGTCACAAAGATGGCAATGCCCACAGCAAATAAGGAGTAAATATGCTAATTGATAGTCCTGCCCTCAATGATGGTGCAATGATGGTGGTGTCCACAGCCAATAAAGAGGAGTATGCTAATTGACTGCCCTGCCCTCAAAGATGGTTGTGCCCAGTCCCCTCAGCCCTGCCAGGGCACCTGCCTCTGGAGTTCCCCAGTCTCCTCAGCCCCCAGCTGCCCAGGGCTGGCCCGAGGTGCAGGCAAGCCTTGGATGGCAGCTGCCCAAGAGCCCTGGGCCAATCGAGGCTCAGGTAACCGGGGCCAGCCAAGGCTCGCACTGCCGGCAGTGGCAGCAGCAGAGGTGTGATAGGAGTGTTGCCTTCCCCTGATTGCTGGGTTGATTCCCACTCCTGTGGGCTCCCAGTCCGTGAGAGAGAACAGGCCATGCTGAAGGACCCCTCAACTCCAGTGCATGAATTTTAATGTATCAGGCCTCTAGTTTATTTATAAAACAAAATAAAACTCTAAGGGTTGTCAGGATAGAGTTCTGAAGAAGGACACATCTTTCTGTAAGGCCCTGTAAACATTATCCATAGACATGGAAGCTCAGCTCTTTCCTATGGTTCTCTCTCCAGAGATTCGGATATAAAGATTCTTCAGTAGTCCTCAGAGTTAATGTGTGAAGAGTCTCCTAGATGTACTCTTCAGAAATTCAGGCCCAGATAGGTAATTTCTCCTCCACCTTCCAAATGACATTGTCAAAACCCATCACAAAATTATGCGAGGAAGGAATTCTGGAAAGGCAGCTGTGAACTTCTATTCTGATATATGAGGAGAAAAAAATAAATGCAGTTGATGCTGGTTGAAAGTAAATTATTTAACCTATAAGTGTAAAAAGTTGTTTTATATATATATATATATATATATATATATATATATATATATATATATATATATATATATATA